ACAATAGAGTATATATATATATATATATATATATATATCAAAATTATGAAAATGTATGTATATATACATAACTTCTTCAGCATATAGATTGCTTAATACTAAACTGCTCAATACTAAATATTCAATACTAAATATACATATACATATAATTTAAATTATAGATTAACTATAGAACTGCAATCGATTTACGGAATAATTATTTTGATATGAAAACTTCGAAAAAGAAACTGCGTTAGTAAGCAACATGTTTGAAGGGCCATATTAGCAAAATATCATTTTATTTTGCATAATTTGAAATATGTACAGCCAAATAAAATGTTAAATGATAAAGAACATATTCAAATATATTAGGTGTGGCCTTTAATAACGATATCAGGATGCTTGCGAATTAAAAGCCAACCGATATGCGAGAAGAAAAATCCTCTACGCGCATTATATGGATCCGCGTCAGTATCGGTGAACTTATGGTGCACGCGGTGGTCCCTGGCCCATTGGTAAATAGTATCCTAATAAAATACAATATATTACATTGATAATAGATAATATCATCAAGTACAAAATTTTATTAAAAAAAAACAAAATGTAGGATTTTTATCTTTAGTCTATTTAACCTTTACAAGGTTGAATCACTAGTGACCGACCAATTCCTGTTCGTGCAAGTTTCTTTGAGTCTTTCGGTAATTATAAATTATATTACATTTTATTATTTTCCAAAATAAAGTTTCAATATTTATTCTATAAAGTTGAAGTATGTTAGTGAATGTTTAGAGATTTTTTTAACCATTCTGAATAAGTGAAAAAAACTGACAGATTTTAGTGACCTATGTTTGGATGAATGAGGCATCAAATTGTACATGTATTGTAAGTGTTAATTGTGTCATTCTGTGCAACACTTTGGCGAGAGGAGAAAAGTTAAACTTACTTGAAAAGCGATGGTCTGGAAAATCATGAGAATAAGTCTCATGGGCCACTTTGCCTTGTAAGATCGATGAGACCATAATCTATGAGTGCCAGCGGTAACGCCTATCATCGCAGCTGTACCAAGAGCAACAACTATAAATTATAGATATGTTATGATTTGATAAACCCTACGAAGCTTACGTAATCTAGCAAAGAAACAAATAAATGATACGTACACCATAGAATTGACCAATATTTAGCATGCAAGCAAGCCATGTACATTCCATAAATGGCAGCAAGATGAATATAGGTAAAAATAATAACATTTTTCCAAACGATTTCCCATTTATAATCAGTTTTGTATGATTCTTTCATCAATGCTTTATCATTTATTGACTTTCCGGTTATTGCAGAAATTTTAGATAAATTCGATAACATGCTATGTGTTAAATATACGTTATAAATATCTTTGTAAAACATAACTTTAATCATTAATTACGTAACAGTATTATTCTGCAATGTTATATCAGAAAAGATAATGCAATGAAAAAGATAAAATAATTACTGCATATAATATATGATGATAATGAAGTGATAACAAAAGCTTATAACTCTAAGAAATTATAATTTTTTCTTTACCATTTCATTATCATTATATAGATTACAATAATTATTTTATAATACTTCTTTATTACACTATCTTTTAAAGATAATATGCAATCGTATTGTGATATAACTATAAAATGTAGGTAAACATATGTTATGAAAACATTTTTATATTTTATGTCAAAATATGTCAGAATTTTCAAAATCAAAAATATCTTCTATCTATTTAAAAATGCATATTTTTACATCTAATTATTATGAATACTAATGAATACTTTATAATATTGCATAACTCACTTTGCGTACTGCTACTGCTTCAAAATAAAAAATATCGGTTCCTCAAGAGATTGTAATACGTTTTTTTAAGCTAAATTAAAGGATACCTTATTAATAGAAAAAAAACTATTTTATTTATTAATAATATAAGTATCGTTTTACAGGATGCTCAGTAAATTGCAGCAACAATGCATCATTACACATGTATAGCTGAATTAAGATATAAAGAATTAAGATTACGAAATAATAATGCAAAGTAATGTATATCAAGCAGAAATAAAATTACATACCTTTTGATAAGAATTTTGTTATAATTTAATGCCTCTATGATCAAAGATTTTTTGATTGTTTCATTCACATCGAAAAAATATCTATAATTTTTCTGAAACAAAAATAGTTAATACAAAAATAGTTAAATACAATAATTAACAAATTTTATAATAATATGGATATCATATAATTATCTCTTCAAAAATATTAATTACATTTCCATAATCATGGTTACATCATGGTGACGTGCGAATGCCCGCTTTATCATAATGTAATGTCATGGTGTGTGAATGCTTTGTAATATGTGTTATTTTATTATAATAATCTCACAGTGACATTATATATTCTTTCCGACTATTGTGACTCTATTGTGATGTGAATGTGACCCTTTCTCACATAGCCCGTAATATCGCAGTATATTAGAAATATTACATATTACATGAAATATTACATATTATAATATCACAAAGATATTACTGATATATTACTTGTTAATAATCAACATTGAAATATTACAGTAGCATTATGACAATATAAATTTTAACTCAAATAGAGCAATAACATTTATATAAGAAATAAATTTAGAAAGGCTTATTTTTGTTTGAGGTTATTTTAAAAACGTTTTTTAGGAACCGATTAAATAATCATGTTGTATAAATGTTTTAAAATCATTGTTTTTTAAGATAACATATAAATGAAAAGAATAAGTGAGTGATAAAGGATCGCTTGAAGTAAGAAAGTTATCGATACTGACATAGGTCTTCTAAAGCGACACCCTCTTTTATTTCTCAAAAATTAACTATTGCACTTTATTAATAAAATCATAATCTGTTTAGCTAATTAAAAAAGTATAAACTTATAATTCGTATATATGGTTTTCTATCAAATCAACTAAAAATCAATGCGAAAATAAAATTCTTACGATTTTCTTTTGCAAATTGCGTAGTAAATATTATTGATAACATAACATCGTTTAAAATGTATGTTTGTAATTTCCTAAATCAGTTTTATTTGTATTATTTTTTTCTCTTACTTTTCTCATAATACAATTTTAAATTTAAATTTAAAATTGTATTATGAAAAAACTAATATAG